TATGTTAGGTTATGTTGTGATTCATGAATCATGATTGAGTGGAAATGAGGCTAAAAGCTGAGTAAACCAAAAATCCTCCAAACAAGAGAGACTGAGAAAGGAAATGTCATGAGAAACAGAGGCGAAGCTGCATGGAATGGATAGCTGACAGGTACAATCCATGAAAATATCCACGTGGTTGCAACCTTTTCAAGGGGAGACAGCCCACATCACATTTCCACAAGTACCATGTCATGCTTCCATGCAATTTCATGGGCCTCCGGACCCACCCATATTTTTGCTTTTGTATTTCACATTACCCATTCTCCATGCAGTTTCTTGACCAATACCCAGATACATTGACTACATATTTTTCTTGACCTTTCATGTTGCTCTCTCACTAGAACTGCTCCATGTTACTGAATCTTTCATCTGAGCATTTTGGGACATACTTCAATTGATTTTGCATTGGCATCTTCCTATTTAAACAAAAATATTTTCTTTTCTATCCAGAGTTTCTGTGGCCTGAATTTTTTATATCCCCCGCGCCACCAGTGACAAAAATTAATAGAAATTGGACAAGACAAGTCCAGTGGTACTTTGTAGCTAAGATATCTTTCTAAATTTTTTTAAAAAAATCCTTCACTTTGATTCTGAATTAAGGGTTTTTTTTTTAAAAAAAATGAATTATATAATAAAAAATCATTGTTAACCCTCTTTCATTAAATTAAGATAATTTTGAAGTTGTGTTGTGTGCTGATTGATATAAAGATTTGGAATTCTGTCACTATTACCGTAGCGACAAACATCAATTGCTAGCAAAATCCTATCAAGATTGGTCCATTAATCTAAGGTTTCTAAAATGAGAGGACATTTTATTTTATAGTCCTTAATTATTAGTGTTAATGCTAGTCTTTAATTGTTAGTGATTTATTGGACCCCATTCATGATTATTGTTATTGCTAGTCCATTTATTAGGACCTGACCTTAGAGATGAAGGATCCTTTAAATATTTGAGAGTTATACAGACGGAAGGAGTAAGCTATTCGCAGCTTCTAATGCTATAATTAGAAGATTTTTTTTTAAAGTATATCATATAATAAATTATATAATAAGAGATAACCTTCTCATTTTCAAAATTTTCTCTACTCATTTTAGAATTAACACTTAAAATCTCTAATATAGAGATTTAAGTTATTGACGACTAATTTATTTCCTAGGACATGCTATCATTAAAAGAAAATAATTTATGAATAATTTTTTTATACTATTTTTTTATATAATTATACATGTTATTTAAATGATTAACTCTTTTTATTCTTTTGAAACCCATGATATTAAATATATTCATTTATTTAATGTATTTATTTATTTAATGACATATAAAAATTATATAAAAAATTATCCATATACCACCGTTCATCAATAAAAAATGAAGTTAGAATCCTGCAACTTATGGAGTAGAGTGATTTTTATTGTTATGTTTATAAATTTAATTTTTTTTATAAAATTTTAAGATTTATTATTATTTTACATATTAACGATTTGGCACTCTTGCAAAAACTCAGCTCAAACTTTACAAAAGTTACAGCTATGCTTTTACCACCTTTAGCATCAGCAATGCTTTAGCTTCTCCAAAGTAGTCCTGACTCTGTCAATGGCAGGTTGGGTACTAAATCCGATAGCATTTCTAACGTGTTAGAGAAATTAGTGTTTAACTATTGCACACAATTAAGATTTTAAAGTTAGCAAAAGCAATAAAACTAAGCTATTGTTGGCAATTGAAGTTTTTATTATTATTATTATTATTATTTTATAATTCAACAATAACAGATAGGACTGGACTAAAATTTCACATGACAAGACTACAATCTGAACCCCACGGTTTCAAATCCTTTGCCTTATAAATCACTAGATGACCAACTTGAGAAGTTGTCATTTTTTCTTTTTTGTTTTGTTTGATCTAAAGTAAAATCATTTAGTAGGTTGTATTGATGGGTAGAGAAGGCAACTGAAGGCTTTAGAGGGTCAGGCGGGGTCAGCATTCAACGACTACAACCCATCCTTAACTAACCACCTTTCTTGATGCCTAAAAGAGCCAAAATCAGTTAGGGGGGAAAGCGACTGACGTGGATAGTTGCAGACCCACACACCACCTGCTTCATGCATTACGAGACCCTAGTCCCAACGCCTCACCTCAAGCCTCCCTAGCCTTGAATTAGTTGGATTCCAAGAGATAAAACAAACTGGGAAGAATTTATTATGGAGAATCCTTTGAGTTGAGTCTTGTGACTCGGTGAGTTATTGCCATGAATATCGTGATATCACCACGGATTCATGCTTTACTTTCTCCATAGATGGAATAGAGAAGAGGGTAGAGACCAGGCCTAATGCGGACATAGGCTTTCTCAATTCAACGGAAGAAATAGATCCGTCATGACAACTAGAAAGGGAATTACTGCATTGCTGCCGTATCATAAAAGACTTTTTTCTATTGCATACCAACCAGCAATGAATTATAGTTCACATCAGAACACACAAATCAGCAAGAAATCAAGATACAAGATTGACCCATATTATGCACAAACTACCCTCGTTGACAACACATTGATCATCATTTCCAGTTTTGGATACCTTTGGCCATAGAACAAAAGGGAAGCAAAATCCCTTGTTTGCAATTTTCAATCATCAATTCTTTTCGGCTGTTCACCAGAGATTTAAAAAGTGTTCCTGGGAGACTGCAGCTTGGCACAGTTACTTCTGCACATGTTGCTGTTAGTAAAGAAAAAATTTTGAAATGATCCACCATGATCTGTTGCTGAATAGATTCCAGAAGTTGCATAAGCTTTGATACCCTCCTTTTACTGAGACAAACTGTTCTTTCAAAGGAACAATACGGTACACGTTATGGTATAATTTTAAGCTACTCTAACAAGATTGTATAGAAATTTATTTTGAGGTCATGTAAGAAAAGGAACCATACTTACCACTTTACAAACGGCACCTACATCAAGAAGAAAATGTCCCTTTTGTGTCAAGTTCCTTCAGAAGAATCACTTCAGTGACCTAAGTAACAACCTCCTCAAGAGAAAGGAAATCATCACGTGGATTAGCTTCTTCTACTTTAACTTCTAACTCATCTCCTACTCGTGTTCCTACAGATACTGATGCAGATGTTTGAAGTCCAACCTGCAACATACAGTGGTTGAGTTAAAATCTATTAGATCTCGAGCTGAGAAATGAAGACAACCACATCACCTGAATTCCACAGCATCAGTTTAGCAACAAGTTTCTTACAAAAAGTAATTTCAGAAAATCAACAAAATGCTTACCTCAACTAATAATAAGGCAGCAATTTGGTCCTTGATGAATCTAAGGACCAAGCCACGGTATTTTTTCTCCTTTGGTTGCCTTCTCAGGAATTCAATTATCCAATATCGAAGACTGCTCGCACAAAGCTTCCTTACAACTCTAATTTGCATATTTACTATTGATGCCACTCCTTCTAGCTGACCAGCTGAGAATGGAGGAGATTCACCTCGAAGGAATGCTTTTACCTAGATAGGCAGGTGAAGATGTTTGTTTGGTCATTTTCTAACAGAATAAAATCAAGCTTTCCGCTTTCTGCTTATATGGCTTGGCAACATATTAAAAACAGATCATAACATCAGTAACATGAATAGACGAAGGAAAAAAGAACTAATCTGTAGACTCATATGATGATAATAATAACAAAAACAGACTCATACAATGATGACAGGAACAAACATACTAAAACAAAAACATTAAACAAAAAGGAAACCAGATCAAGAATTGCTAGTTACCCATGGAAAATGTATCTCTATATTGTAGCTTTCTGCCTTTCCCAGGTTGGCCACTCAAGTATGTGGATTGCAGTTTGTACTTTGTATACCCTTTGTATACCCTATCAGTTTAAGTACTAACATACATGGTTGTCTACAGCTTCTAAATGATTCATAATATTTTAGATCATGGAATTTTTGTCCCAACATGCCAGTTGCAATTAACTTTATCCTGGCCCCTACAAAGGGTGATGGGATTCCAAACTATGGAAGATGTATGTGGATTTTGATAATTGTGCCTGCTTCCAGCAAATCATCTAAAAATATGGCCACTGTTCTCTTCCCTATTTCATGTGTAACCTGGAAAACATAAAAAATATAGCTTTGGCATCATTTTTTTAAACCCTTTTGAGCCCAACAACACTGGGATAAAGGAGTGCTGATGCAAAAAGCATATACGCACCAAGCAGTCATTCCAGAGATTGCATGACTGAGAATCATGTTAGGAGGAACTCTAATCTACTCTTTTGGATAAAAGGCCTCTTGGTAACTTAGCTACTTGCATGATCAGCTAACATTAATTAGGCATGCACCCAATCTCTGAGCTTTTATTATAAAACAAATCAGTATAAAGGTTGTGAAATACATCGCAAATGTCCAACTTAGAATAGTTAGTATCAATATCAATGCAGATCCAGAAGTGTGGAGAAACTCACCTGATAATGAGCAAGAAGATCCATATATCTCCGAATGGGCGATGTAAACTGCACATAACCAGGAATTCCCAGGACCCCATGACGTATGGGATTCCTGAAATCAATTTCAGCAGCACGCATTATTCTAACAATGGCAGAGCTCCTAACTGGTCCTTCTGGAAGATGCAAGAATGCAGATACATCAATGTTTGACTGGGGCTGTCCTCTATACGGCAAAGGAATGTTATTGGAAGAGCCATAGGTGGCAATAACTTCTCCACAGAGTACCATCATCTCAGAAACAAGTCGCATTGCAGGATCTGCCTGGTTTTCAACATAAAGATTAATTGATGGCTCTGGATCCTCTGGATTGACTACCTTAATGCGGGGTTCTAAAGTAGCTGTATCTACCGCACCCTATGAAATGGATGAACTGTAATTGTTAAGAAAGTAAGAAGAAAATAAATAGAACAAGTCCAAACACTCAGTGGCATAATAATAAGGCCTGACCTGTTTGCGACGCCATTGTAACCTGAGAGCTGCTGCCTCAGAGAGAATCTTCAACTCAACCTCCTCTTCCAGGTTCAAATAAAGCAGCTCCATTGCACTCTCATATGTCAGCATATAGGTTGGTTTAATGAATGAGTTAAAAACTGAATATTCTGCAATGCTGTAGTACCAAATAGGATGTATAATGGCCATTATTAATAAAATATCACTGCAAAAATTATTACTACGGCCAAAAACAGAATTACTACTTTGTGGTCCAGCAGGAATATAAAAATAGAAACCAAAATAATAATTAAAAAAATCTAAAAATCTGTCTGAAATACAATGTTCTAAGCAGTAATCAATTCAAAGGCAAATAGTTTCATGGGGGCATAAATAATAACCTGACAGAAAAGAGAAGTCATCTTTTCAATTTCTAAAACATTCTTATGTTTACAATTTCAAAAAGGGACAAGTAAAGAATAGAAGAAGTAGAAGAACTGCTAGACTCCTTAGAGTCCCATGGTGAATACCCAGGAAATACTGGCCTAGAGAAACTAAATGTCTAACCATAACTTTATATCATGTCCCTAAAAGTTTACTTCACTTATAAATATACCACTTCACAATTAATTTTACCCTTAAAAGAAACAAGACTAATTAATTTGAAGTTTACCTGCCATCAGAATGTAGAACAACAGATACAGTTACGGCATTGCAAATTTCTCCTTGCTTCAAACTCATTCCTTCCATGGCAAGTTTCTCAGGAAACATAGCATAAGTGGCCGTGGGCAAGAAAACAGAGGTTCCCCTTCTCATTGCTTCCCTAAAAACCAATAAATATATAAAAGATGACCATAGTAAAATATAGTAGCATGAACTCTAGAATTTTCAAAACCCAAAAAAGTACCTGTCTACTAGACTTCCGGGTTGGATGTATCTAGTTGGATCTGCAACATGTATCCATACTTTTATCCTGCCATCTTGCAACCTTGTTGCACTCAAGGCATCATCAAGCTACACATGATGACAAAGGTTAGAAGTTGAGACTAAAGGTTCACAAGCCAACTCAAACGCAAAGCAAGCCAAGATGCCTTTACACCAATTACCTCATCAGCCTCATCAACATCAATAGCATAAACCTTCAAATGAGTAAGATTTTTTCTGTTCACCTAAACATAAAAATACCAATGAGCTTTACAACAAACAAAAATTTCAGAAGACAAAACATGGTCAATAATAGTAAAAATCCTCACTATTTACATTTATAGAGTTTTGGTCACAAATAAGCTTATAAAAATCATCCACCACAAGGACGGCTAAAACTAGAGCATTTTCATCATGACATAAATCTTCAAATCTATGATGCATCCAATTCCTATTTGATTACAGATCAAAAATTTCATATGTTAATAGAAAAATCATATTCCAGCAATACAATTTTTCAGCATGCTGGTGGGGAGAGGTAAATGCACACTCAAAATTACATGAATTATTAACTAACTTTTTTGAAAAATAAATAACCACTCTTAATGACCCAATATTGCGTATTAAAACATTACATAAGATTGTTCAAAATTACATCTATAGCAGGAAGCCAGATTACCTCATCCACGTCAGACGATTCTGACATTAGACTTTCTGCAGCTGCTACAATGAAATCAGAATGGTTTGTACGGATATTTGACTTTAATAGATCCAGATTAACATGCACAGGAAAATAGCCAATGTCTATGAGAAGGTTTACTGCCGAGGTTGCTGTTTTTGCAAATCCCATTGCCTTAAGAATCTGACAAGAAGAGAAAGTGTTCATGAGGATAAAACTATTAAAACCTATAACAACTTAGTCAAGCCAGATAAATTACCATTTCTGCAGTTTTCTTTTGCTCATTACTCTTGCACATATCAATAGCATATGCTTCAAGAGACTGAATTCTGTGTTGGATTTTCTCATCAACCATCCATGAGGATTTGGGAGGCTTAGCATTTGCAGGGTTTGCTCTTGCAGACAGTAGTACCTGTACAAAGTCCTGAAGTTCTTTCTCAGCTGCCTCCTTGGCAAGCTTCTTACGTAGAAGTTCTTCCACCTATTTTTTCAAGCAAATGAATATTCCATATTGGCATCATTATATGAAATGGATCAATGTATTTTGGATTCTTTTGGGGAGAAACTGAAATATTTTTCATTATTCTTCTGATAGCCAGATCATTTGATCATTTGCACACTGTGTTCTGAAAAACTTAATCAAAATCAATATAAAATATATTAAATGCACCTGCCCTGTTGGCCTAGGCCTGTATATAACACGGGAACCTTTAGTCTCCTGCACTGCAAAGTATAACTCATCTTTTGACAGCAAAAGATGAGCACAATAACTCTCAAGAGAGTCCACACTGCCAAAAATCATCTGCAGAATAGGCTAAGATCACTTAAGTGGCCAATTAGACAGATTGAGTTATTTGGAAAATACAGTACCTCTGCTAATTCTTCTGCTGTGACTGACTGATTCTTTTCAAGAAGCTCCACCCAAGCAAACTCAAGCAATGCTGGGTCCTGAACCAAAATGGTCATATATTATTGGCCTTTTCTTTAGAACAGAAACATTAAAACCATATGTTTCTTTCCATCACCATAAAAGATAAGAACAACCAACCAAATTATCATGAGCTTTCCGGAGAAAACTAGAGATCTCTGTGTGATCAAAATTTTCAACACCTGGAACAACATAAGTAATTTGCTGTGGTTTAATGGATGACGTTACACCATTCTGTAAAAAGAAAAAACAAATTATCATTTCATCTCAAAAGCTAAAAATTCCAGTCTTTTGAGGAAAAGAAAACAGGAGCTCTAACACCTAGCAACCTATTCAACATGCTGCACTAGTTGTTTCTACTAGAACCTGATCAAACACTATCCAATTCTTTTTCCCGTCACGTCTCTGGGCCACTGCCAGCAAGACTCTATCAGAATCCTTCTTGAACTCCAACAGCAATCCTTTTTCCAATTCTTTGTTCACAAGCTTATCTTCAAGGAGCTCACCAGTACTTGTTAACCCGACCCTGAGAAGAAAGTTATCAACATAATCAATCTTCAGCATTCCTGTAACCTATAGCTGCTATAGTGTATAACTTAATATTGATTGAGTTCCTAAAAAGATGTCAATGACCATCAAAACCAAGGAAGAGACATGATGCAGCTAAATTTTGTCACTTCCAAATTCAATAACTCAAGAACAAAGTTCCAGAAATCACTTCCAAGAGACCATTCAGAATAAATTTAATTCAATGCTATTGAATTACTAAGAAAATAAGTTTTTTTTTTTTTTTTTTAAATGGCTCCCCTAAAAGCTAACTTGTAATTCTACTTAAAATCTATCTCCAAGTAAAACATAGTTCAGAAAATTAATAATTTACTCTCTAGTCCCCACTCAATTTGATTGCAAACAAACAGAAATGACAATCGCGAAAAGAAAATTAGCGAAGTACAACAACACTGGATACAAATGCATCTATCTAAGAATGTAACAGAATAACAGACTTGACGTTGGCGCGAACTCTCCGGCTGCGCAATGCTGCCAACTCCTCAGAGACGCTGTCGAAAAGGCTGTAAACTGCATACGAGCGCCTGCAGCCACGGCTGAGAAACTGATTTTCGCACCGAAATATCAGGAACCGGAACCCTAACCTGGAATTCCGGGGAGACGACAAAGTACTGAAACGAGAAAACCGGCAGCGGAACGCAGGGGGAGGAAGTACTGCGGCGGAACGAAATATTGAACAGCTATTAACAGCGCGGACCGCCATGACTGGTGATCTTAGTCAAGAAATTTTGTACAGTTCATGGATTGAGGATATAGGAGAGTGGTCTGAGTGGAGCAGGTTTTGATTGGAGTCGCTGATTTTGCATTCCTGATAAAGCTGAGCAATGCAAGGGATGTGAGGATTGAACCAACGTTTTGGGTCGAGTTGCCTGCATTTGCGGTTGGAGGTGAACCGGAAGGGTTGAAACGTATGTAACTCGATGTGACGTCGTTTCATTTTTTTTTCTTTTTCTTTTCGAGTGGTATTTTAAGGTTTATGTACAATTCTAAATCTTGATAATTTTACATATTTCTTGTTCCTCGAATATAAAAATAATGTAAAATTGAAAAGAGGATGGTGTTTTTCCATGCTTAAGTTATAAAAGTAGTAAAATACCTTTAATGAATCTTATTTAGTATTAAATATTATTATGTATTTTTACATACTATAAAAAAAATTCTAAATTAGAGAATGTATAAAAGTATTTGTACCTCTTCCTCTTAGTTAAAATGAACTCATGCATGATGCACAAGAATAGTTTGTTTGACTTAATTATCAAATCCATAAACTTTTTTCACAGAAAACTTAACTTTAAATTTTAAAAAATTACGTGTTTGTAACTTCAACATCTAATCTATCAAAAACTAAACACAACTTTAAAAAAAAATGTTATTTTACTATTCACATTATGTAAACTATATATTTTTTAACCATTAATAAAAAAGTAAATTTTTAGAGATAACACCCCACACCAATAATTATATGAAATGTAGTCTATACAGTGCTAACTAAAACTAAACTTCACTCCTCTGTTTAGAAAGACTTGATACGCTTTCTAAAAGCGCATTCGGCCCAATTTCAACTGTTATAACAAAAACGATTTTTTGTAGAAAGCAGATTTAAGCAGAATCAAAGGATTATGTATAAGAGAATAAAATGTTTGGTTTAAGTAAGAAATGTACTGAACCTCGATCAGAAGCTCACTCTCTCTCTCTCTCTCTCCTGTCTAGAGAATAAAATGTTTGGTTTAAGTAAGAAATGTACTGAACCTCGATCAGAAGCTCAAGGCTGTATATTCACATTCTGATGTGTTCATAATCCATGTATCTAAAACCTATTGGCCAATAACAATCAATTAAATTTAAACCAATCAAACATAGTACTGCATCTGTTTATACTTCATTCTCATAAAATTTGTACACAGGGGCGGACATATCCCAAGTTTCATCTGTTTCAGCTGCAAAGATCAGCTGCACGTCTGAGAACATAAGCTCTGAATCTGAGAACTGGTTGCACCAGACAAAGTGTATATATTGGATTTCCCATTGCTGGAACATGTTACATTCACCTGATTCCCTGTTTGATAAGACTGCAAAAATACCATGTGCACTACGAATTAAACCCATGCATATACCTCTAAATTAAAACAGACATAATTGGATGGTACTTTAAATCACAAGCACATGCATAATGCATTGCATGGAATGAAAAAACAATAGTCGCATAAGATCAAGAGTCAAGTATAATTATGACGAATCCAGTTAAGCATGTGACAGCACATAGAAGTATTATATCACAAATCAGAAATCATAAACTTGCTGAAAGAATAACACTTAATTGCATCTCATTTAAAATGATTATCTTGATCGATGATGGATGCATTTTACCACAAGGATTTCTCATTTCCTTACTGTTTCTTGCTTTTTGTTTATATTTCTCCACATTTTTGTTCTAACTACCAAGTTAATCTTAACAACTTGATTACAAGGTTCAAATGACTTTTCTAAATGGCATCCAGTTAACCCAATTTGCCTAGCTCTCTTTTTCTTTTGATTTTTTTTTTCTTTTTGTTAATTTTGAATCAGAACATGGTTTACAATACATTTGGAAAGAAAAATGTAAAACATTTTGACAAGGGACCAAAACATCTAGAAGGAAGAGAAAAAAGGATGAAGGAAAGGAGAAAAGAACGGTGAATATTCATTACCATGCAATAGTCAGGCTGTGTATTGCAGCTCCATCTTGAAGTAGGGACACAAGACAAGTAATGACACCAAGAACAATGGTCATTTGCATCAACTCCACGGAGAAGCATAACCAGGCCAACAGTCAAACTGCAGATATTGGCAATAGCTTTTAAGCAGAAACAGAATTCAAATTTAACATGCCAGGATAAAAACTAAACCAAAATGGGCAGAAATAGAATACAAGTGAAAAGGTTGCAACTGGGGAAGATAAAAATAAAATGGAAATGATACATTTTCTCCCTCCAACTTTTCCCATTCTCTTTTGCAATATTCTCAAACTGCAATCTAAAAAAGTAGGATGAAATTCAAAAAAGAAGAGTGGAAAGTAGTATGCTCACCCAACAATTAAAAGAACCAGTGAAATAACCCATAATATGCACTGGTACATCTTGAATTTAGATTTAGTTGAAGAAACATTTCCATAAGGAGCATATTTTTGACTAACCCATCCAAACTGGGGGCGGATCAAAAATACAAACCCAAGAAAAAATCCAGAAAGAAATCCTCCAATATGAGCAAAGTTGTCAACGTGTGGGAGGATTCCTACTGCCAAATTAATAATGATGATCACCAGAAGAGTCACAAATGCTGCCACCTGAACATTGAGAATAGTATGTATCTGAGTTCAATTCAGGCAACTTGCCAGGGCGACTAAATCTTTCTGGGAATATCTGTTTGAATTGGAAGTAGTGTAATACATACCTTATTAGCATATATTGTCCAATTAGTAATGAGTTCAGAAAGCATGCTTCCAAGTAACCCAAAAAGTGCACCAGATGCACCAACAGAAATATTTGACTGGATGAAAAGAGCTGAAAGCAAACTCCCACCAAAGCCAGAGATGACATAAATCAACCCAATCTTCACTGCAAAGCAAGCACACAAGAATCAGACAAGGCTATTTAGCTAAAATAGTGAACTTTAAAATGAATGGATACTTTTAAGGATGCTAAAAGATATTGACCAAGAACTGTGATTAATGGTTCCAACTCAAAAATCATGCCTTAAATGCAACTTCTTGAGACTTGAGGCTCAAGAATAACATGTGGGGAATGCTTCATGTTCTTTCCACTGTTTTGGGTTAAATAATGAAAGGGGGGAAATTTTGGGAGTGAGAAGTAAGATGATAAAGAAAGTGCAGATGTAGACCCCAGATTGACTAGATTTGATTTGGCAGTGGTTGTGGATAACTAAACAAAAGTTGAAGAGAGACACAATCAAAAAGAGACAGAGAAAAGGAATCCTTTGCATCACATGACATTCTATAGAAGGGTCTGATCATGGCATTGTTTAATTATAAAATTGTAAAGAATCATTTGACAGCCTAAAGCAGATGCACACAAAATAGGTTACGAATGCAAGGAACTAGATGCAGAACACAGGTACAATGAAGTAAAAAAGTTCAGAGATTCTACAACATGCATTTTGAAAAATGCATCAATATGATGGAAATAATTAAAAGATATTAACCGTTTCATCAAATAGTACATAAACCTTGTTCTGAAGTACATACCAAAACCAAATTCTCTCTCAAGCCGAATTCCAATAACTAAAAGACTCAACATGTTTGCAAGTAAATGAAAAACTCCTCCATGTAACCAATTGCAAGTGATGAGACGCCATCCTTGATGTCCATCAACCACTTTTGTTACATCTAGCGCCCCCATTTTCTGTAGCCTAAAGTACAAAACAAATGCTTATGTATTCCCAATAATATACATTAAAGATCACTAGAAAATTGAGCAGCAACAAAGAACAGTGAAAGGAGAACGCATGTCTAAGAGAATCCCAATTTCAATCCCATTATTAACAACAAATTATACATGGCAAAGGAATTGATTAATCTACCATTCTTACTGTTGGAAGCATTTTCAGTTATTATGGAGGAACGATAGTAACACATCTCAAAACTCTACCTGGGATGAAATCATTGAAACTACAAATTACTAGACACAAGCATACAATCATTAATCATTAAGCTGAAAATCCCTGATTACAACGTGGAAATTCCTACGAAATTGTTTCAATCGTTTACACTTTACAACAGTGAACGACCATCCCATAGCTGCCAAAAAATCAAGGGAAAGAAACATTCTTGAACTTTGTTAGGCTAATCCAACTTTTCTCCAGTGAGGACAAATACCTAAATCCGTAATTCTAGTTCTAAATCCATAATTCTAGTTTTAAATCTATAATTCTAGTTCTAGACATGGTTAATCTTCCCCTTCACTAATTAAACAGATTGTGACATAGAAAACCAAAGATATCCGAAATCAAGGACATACAACAAGAAAAAGCACCAAATCGAAAGTCAATCAAGTTCTTAAAAGTCGAAGAGCTAACATCTAACCAAAAAACAATGACTTACGTTGCAGACGAAGGACCCAGAAGCGGATTCTCCTTGAAAGGCTGAAAGGCAAACCTACCCAGGAAGGTGGCAATGCAAGACACAGAATTTTTGGGACAATCGTTCACGTACATGGTGATGATCAACATAATTGTGTTGGCAACCACGATAGCAGGAACCAGCCACGGTATCCATTTCTTGAAATGTTTGACTTCTCTGTAAACAATTGGGCCGGGTGTCACCGCCGCCGGGGGTGCTTCTACGTCTACCGGATGTATGGTGTTGCTGCTCCTCCGCGAATTGACCCTCATTGGGTTCTCCAAAGAACTGTTTGCCGCCGCCATGGAAATTGAAACTGAGACACAGTTTGGAAACGATCGGATTAGGATAAATACTTCTACGATTCGAATTGGTTGAACTGCTTCGAAGAATCCGTCAAAAACTCAGAAAACGTCTGACAAAGAATGGGAACAATCGCGGAGTTAGTCAGCGGCCTACCAGCTTGGCTGCGGACATTGTTGAAATTAAGATCTTTATTTTACTAGTCGGTAATTGCAAATTAATTAGATTAGTTAAATGAACAATTTTTCCTCTCTAACAATGTTTTTTTTTTTTTAACATATTTAGAATGAGCGCATTCGAATCGAATTATCAGATGAATGCACTTTAACATGATTTTGTGTTTCATTGAACCGAACGTGCAAGTGCCTCTTTAAACATTATAAATATGTAATATATTATTATATAATTAATTTTTTTATTTTAAATTTTTTATAATATTATATATTTATTTAATAACACATCCAATTTTATTAAATATCATATAAGACTATAAGGGTATTACAAAATTTTCCTCTTCCAAACATAATAAAAAAATGTAAAAAAAATGTTATTAAATCTAAGCATGGCAGCACCCAGGCGATATGCAAGTGTGCCATCAAGATAATTTGAGCAATTTTTTCATGCGTGGAATCCACAACTAAATAAATGT